TCCAATAATGCGACCAATCAGAGCGCGTTTAATCGGAGCGTAGATGACGTCGCGAGTCAGCCTGCAAGACCTGCTTACATTAGGCCAATAACACTAACAAGGGGAGGACGCGAGCTTGGTCACACGGATTTAGGAGCCCTTTTGGGGTAGGAAAGTACTTTGTAATAACAAACTGCAGGTCAATTGGCAGGACTCAATTCGGACCCGTTTTCGAGAAAAACCGGTTTGAAAAATGCAGTACTGCTCATATACCTGCACCGTTGCCAATGTTTTCGAGAAGAGGGCGTAGCTCGGTGACAGCGCGCCTGACTACTACCCGAGCGGCCAGGGTCCGATTCTCCCACCACACGTATTTTTTTTTTATTTTAATGTGAACGAAATTAACTTTCCTCCATCACTATCAAAAGAAAATTGTCATTGCAACGAACAAGAAGTTGCATTCATAAAATGTACATGGTGTGAACATAATTTATGTTTTGCATGCTTTTATGATACATACCGTCCAAATAAACGTAAAGGCTATACAGAAGCCAGTAGTGATAGCGAATAATGAAAAACATATGTACACCTAACAATACGCTTTGAATCTTTATAGCCGTTTCCAATCAACCAGTGGCTGATAATAAAAAATAATAGTGTTCCAATCCACTCATTTCGTACGTAAATTGACAAAATTGTTAATAGATAAACATGTCTCGTCGGGTAGTAAAAAAAAAAGAATTAAAATAAAAAAGAATACGTGTGGTGGCAGAATCGAACCCTGGCCGCTCGGGTAGTAGTCAGGCGCGCTGTTACCGAGCTACGCCCCCTTCTCGAAAACATTGCCAACGGTGCAGATATATGAGTAGTACTGCATTTTTCAAACTGGTTTTTCTCGAAAACGGGTCCGAATTGGGTCCTGCCAATTGGCCTGCAGTTTGTTATTACAAAGTACTTTCTTACCCCAAAAGGGCTTCTAAATCCGTGTGACTAAGCTCGCGTCCTCTCCTTGTAAGAGTATTGTCGTAGTGTCCCTGTTTATCTGCATGTAATTGAGTGAGATACAATCGCTCGCTGTAACGTCACTGAATTTCAGAAGGTACCCTTTATTCCTTATAATGTCTATTCCCTTAATGTGACAAGATAGTTGTACCAACGTATGACGTTTTGAGTGATCCTGAAAAGGACCGATTTTGATCTACGCATAATTGAGCTTGGATATGGACATGCTAATCTGCAACAATTACATACATTTTCTATGATAATGATTATTCTGAAACAGTAAATATTGTAGAATACGTAACATTATTATCAAGATATCGCCGTTAGGATACCTAATTGCATATTCTTGCAGTGCTTGTGTTTGACTATCATTACATTGGGCTAACAACCAATACATGTCGCAATATTCTCTCATAGAATAATTACTCATAATGCGAACTGACTGTGTCCGCAATGTGAAGTGAAATAAGTTGTAATTTGTAAACAAGTCATTCGACCGCAGTAGACTTATTACTGTTTACAAATTATAATCTATTTCGCTTCATAATGCGGAGACAGTCAGTTCGATTTATGTTGTTTCGACTACAAGATCGCATTACGAGTGATTATTCTGTGAGAGAATATTGCGACATGTATTGGGTGTTAGCCCAATATAATGGCAACCAAACACAAACAGCGCAAGAATATACAATTAGGTATCCTAATCGGCGACATCGTGATAAAAATGTTACGTACTCTACAATATTTACTGTGTCAGAATAATCATTATCATAGAAAATGTATGTAATTGTTGCAGATTAGCATATCCAGATCCAAGCTCGGTCATGCGTAGATCAAAATCGGTCCATTTCAGGACCACTCAAAACGTAATACGTTGGTACAACTATCTTGTCACATTACAGGAATAGACATTATAAGGAATAAAGGGTACTTTCTGAAATTCAGTGACGTTACAGCGAGCGATTGTATCTCACTCAATTACATGCAGATAAACAGGGACACTACGACAATCCTCTTAGTGTTTTGGCCTTACTCTTGTTTGCCTAGTGTAAGCAGGTCTTACAGGCTGACTCGCGACATCATCTACGCTCCGTTTAAACGCGCTCTGATTGGTCGCATTACTGCAACTTCAACCTTGATTATCTCGAAATTTTGATATATGAAATAAAAAATGAAAATATACGTATTCCTTAGAATTTGACAAGGAATGCAACGATGTTATTACAGTGCGTTTCATAACGAACACCCTGTACATTCAATTGAGATCACGCTTATTCAATATTTCGACATAAGGAGAAAGAAGAAGATGTCCTACCCGGGGAGAGAGAGAGCCATCTTTCAATATTGTCTAGCGATTCCTCCACCGTCAACCACCCGATAAGTCTTTTATATTGTGTTACGTTCCACGCCTTACAATTATTGATAGGCAAAACACATCATATTCTTATAATCCTTTAACCATATAATCATTAATCCAGAAATAATACATTAGTACACGATACATTAACGATATTAAATACTGAATTATATTTTGTTAATATCGAACAATGTAGATATAAATAAAAGGATAAGCCTGAATCTTCTCGGATATCATTCAAGGAGATTCAAATTACAGAGTACGACTTGGTATATTGATTATTGAAAAAAGGTTAGTTGTCAATCGATATGTTAGGAATTTTGAGGAAGGGGAGTCACATCGACCAATCAGAAGTAGTTTTACTGCTATAAAAAGGGAGTCAGAAGTCGCATTCGGTGGTGTGGATAAAGAGATTAAAAGAACAACATCAGAGTTGTCGAGCGTGTTAAATCGTACAATTGAAGTCAAAGTTCCAATTAGAGTCGTGAGTGAAGTCAAAGATAATATATTAAATATACCAAGAACCTCTAAAACTTATCCAAGATACCGAAATCAGAGTATTCAACAATTACTCGAAACCTTCCCGGATAGAACTGAAGCCGTTGTATAGGGACTCTATCCGTCCTTACTCTAAAAAGGTAGAACTGAAGCCGAATTTAGGTCCTCTACGTTATCCTACCAAATCATTAATACAAATCAAAACTTTGATCAACATCTCATACATCATCAGGACTTAGATAAGACTGGTCATTCACGACAAACGATCTAATTGAGATTCAATCGCATACTGAGGGAAATCCAAATATACTACGAATACAAGATCTGAATAAGTACAGACTTCTGTCTAAACGAAGTGGTAGGAAAGTTCAATTATGTAAAATATTCAGACAATTAGGTAAACGATACACTCAAAAACAAACAAAACCAACGAGCCAGAAGGATCTAGACGCGACAAAATATCTAGTTAACGAACAAGACAATTCTATTCAATATTTACCGTGGAAATTGATTCCCATAGAGTTTTCAAACTTACCAAAAGATCTACCTACTGAAGAATCACTTAAAAATAGAATATTTTCTGATTCACGAAAATACATCTTGAGAGATTATTACAATTCCAAATCATAAAATTCGATAGGCCTTGTATTAACATGTGGACGTGCTGATAAAGTAGACCGAACCAACGAATCATCCCTTTCATTACAATTATATTTACGTCGCTTGATTTTCCGGATTTACCGATCGTAACAATTGTTATACATTTTCAAGCATGAAAAATCGAATGATATTGTGATGTTGCAAACTTGCTGAAATTTTATTGTTGAATGAATGAATGTGACTGAAAACGATTCTTATGTTAGTATCGTATTAATTTGAATGTGTGTGGAAAACAGTTAGTATTGACAAGATTACTGTATTTCGTGAATTATCAAAAATATGTTATAAAGAAACTATATATTTGACTGAAGGAAAGTGACTGGATAGAGACCATTTTGTCGTTAGCGGAGCTAGTTGGAGGTATTTGGTATTTTGTTATTGGTTCAAAATGATGGTATACTTAAAATTATAAAAAATAAACGAATAAGAATTATAAAATTTATAACCTAGAATCATCGCTGTACGCAGTTAGTAAGGCAATTTAGGAACACCCTGTGTAAGTCACTACATATCTGCCGTATTATATGATCCTCATGATATTATGATCATCATGTTCATTGTATTTTCGAAATTTCTTGTAACGTTTTCACTATTCTTTTGTGTTACTGTTGTTTCTTATATTTAATAATGATTTAATGGTCATTTAATAATTAATAAAATGTTAGGAGATTCCTAATCGAGTACTACTTGGGGGTCCGTGCCAAAATGTTACAATACTGACTTCGGGCACAGACCCGTCAGGTAGTACTTGAATAAGGAATCTTCAAAGTTTTTATTAATTATTAAATGACCATTAAATCATAATTAATTATAAGAAGCAGTAGTAACACAAAAGCGTAGCGAAGACATTATAAGAAATTTTGAAAATACAACTAAAATGATGAGCTATTGCTAGATCACATAATACGCAGATATGTAGTGATTTATATACTTGGCATTATAATATGATTTTAATTGTTTTTCCTAATAGAGCAATTATGCAGGATATAAATACAGTCATTTCAGCAACCCTGCACTTGATGAAGTTCTTTTTATGAATATGTTTTTGTGATGGATTTCTTTATTTAGTGTTATTTTTGCATTATTTTGCTCGCGTATACTGAGAGGTTCGGAATTACCAAGAATCTTCACTTATTGCAAATTTTTGAATTCTTGAGCTAGTCAAGAAAATATATCATCGTCGTATCTATTATATGACTGTTGCAAAATAAATTCTATTCATGAATTCATGTTCATACGTAAAAGATTCTGATTTTTATCTACACAGTGATAGCATTCATATTTGTGATAAAAAAGTTTTACTGAAAGTATTATATTTCGAAGAGATTTTTCTATAAAAGAGTTATACTTTCTCATGACTTAAATCCGTATTCAGAACTCGCTTTTAGTGCTAATAGCGCGATTTTAAATTTTTTCTTAGTGACTTTTAACTACAAACGACTCTGTTAGTGACTTTAAGAGCGAGTTGTGAATACGAACTTTAGACTTTCTCATGATTTTCCAGGCATCAAATGGGGGACTAGTGATGGTTACATTTTACAATTACTTCGTAAAATGCGGAGCCCAAGCTACTGTGTCAGATGTCGCTGAACACATACACTACATTAGAAGCCTGATTGGCGTGGAGCATATTGGAGTTGGTGGTGATTTTGATGGAATCAACAAGTAAGTCCAAATACTTTGTTTAATAATTTAAGTATACTAACATTTTACTATTGAATTACTTCAATATTTTATTTTTTATAACAATTGATAATTAATATATCATATACAGAGTGTATACGATAAGATGCACGTTTGCGTTTCACGATGAAACTGTGCACAATTTCGAAAATCTGACGTGACGAATATTGAATATTTTTCGATTGCGTATCTAATGGGGATATTATAATTATACATTTAACTTACCTTCGCAAATAAAAAAAATTGTCTTTGTCATTTCAAATGATATCGAAAAAATTAATTGCAAAGTTGTAGAGCAAGAAAAATTAATTGAGATGAAAAAAATTCTCCTCCATCTTCTCGTGGAACCGCCAAGTAGTACTTGATAACGAACTTAAGTTTTATTAATTATTGAATGACCATTAAATCATAATTAAATACGAGAAGCAGTAGTAATACAAAAGTGTAACGAAAACGTTATAGAAAATTTTGAAAAAACCAATTAAAATTATGCACCAGTGCTAGATCATTTAATAGGCAGATATGTAGTCACTTATGTACTTGACATTAGTAATATGATTTCAATACTTTTTGTTAGAAGACCTCACAGCACTCCTGTATGTGGCATAGTTTTTTACACGGAAATGTTTTTTGAGGGGATATGGTTGTCCTCTGCAAATTAATTTCAAAATTTATTATTATTAATCCATAGAATTTTCATATTAATCAAGTTAACAAATATTTGATAGCGTTTATAATATACAATTTATGACGTGCTGGGCTATGGTAATTGCCCAGAGCCTACTCAAAAACATATATCGCAATGGGGAGGGAACGCGAAAAAAAAGGGAACACGGGGTAGAAATCAAAATAATATAATTAAGAAAATAAAATTCCGATACAGAAAAAAAAACAACAAAGAAAATAAGCAAAAAGATAAGAAATAGAACTGAAAATATAATACTTGAAAGATAATAACTGAAACTGCAGCAACGCAAAATATAATAACTCGATATACTCCCAATACTCATTCACTCTTTTATTCAATCGCAAACTCTAGATTGCAAAAACGCTCCACCTGCTCCTCCTGACTTAAAGTGAAGTTTTGCAGATTTCCGATTCTCGGTATTTCCCTCGGTAGGCCTCCAAGACCTCGATTATTGGGTGGATCGCTCTGCTGAGAGGGCTACGCGCTTCGGCATTGGTCCGCAGTTCAGGCATAGCAGGGCGCCGACGCCTTTGGTTGCCACGGTCCTGACGGGCCTTCCAGGGTCTTGCTGAAGGATGGGACGGGGCGGGGAGGACCCACTGGTGCACAGACCAACTGGGCACAAATGACTTTTTACTCCAAATTCTGTACACTTTTAAATAGATGGAATAAAATTAGGTACGAACTATATCTTAGTAAAGTATATTGTATGTGGTTCAACATTAGTTCATGCTAGGTTTAGTTAGGTAAGGTTAGTATAGAGTGGAATGTTCAAATTTCGGAGACTGGGTAGTTTAGTGGATAAGTATATCGTCGGCGAGCGAGCAGAGCGAGCGAGTCTGATTGAAGAGAGCACTAAATGTTTGAAAAGGCTTCGTCAGATAAAGATAACTTACAATATCGTTGAATTACTGGTGGAATATCGCTCAAGAGGCAGAAAGGCTATTGGAGGAGATGAAAGAGTTAATAAAAAATAAGACAAGGGAGGTGAAGGAGGATGTTAACGAGCAGGGGAGGGAGATGAAGGAGGAAATAACAGGATTGAGAGATGAGATGAGAAAAGCCGAGGAAAGGTGGAGAAGAGAAAGCGAGAAGATAGAAAGGAGAATGCAAGCGGTGGATGCGCAAATAATGGACGGTGAAAGAAAGAGAAGCTGATTGAGGACATACAGGAGAGAGTCAGAAACATGGAAACAAGAACGAAAAAATGAAGGGGAAGGAAATAAGGGGAGTAGTAGGAAGGAGGTAAATGGAAGAAAGACTGAAGGAAATATAGAGAAGGATGGAAAGGGGAAAGAGAGAAAGAAGGAGAAGGCACGTGATGATAAAAAGAGCGAGAATAGAAGGCACGGTAAAACAAATGGCGATCAGTATCATAACGGGATTGTTGGTGAAGGCGAAGGTGGGTGAGGAGAAAAAGATATCTCAAAGAAAAGCAGGAGAGAAGGAGGCAACTAAAAGTGTGAGTGCAAGATGTGGAAGGAAACATCGAGGTGATAACAGGAAGAAGAAACATAAGAGGAAAAATCAAAATAGAGGACGATCTAACGTGGAAAGAGAGGGAAATGCAATAGCTGCTGAGAAAAGTAGGAGACGAGGAACAAGAAGAAGGAACAGAGTCAGAGTGAATTACGGGAATATAATAATCAATGGAATAACATGGACTTGGGATGAGCAAAGAGAGGTGCTAAGGGACGGTACAGGAACGGACACGGCAGAGGGTAAAGGAGGAAAAAGACAAGAGTGGATTTAGGAAGAGGGCAGACTGGATAAAGCAAGAGGGGGGAGCGAGAGGAAGGCTGACGTGGAAAGAGAAAGGACAAAAATCGGCTAGAGGGAAGGAGCGGGAAAACGAAAGGATCAAAGAGAAGCAAAAGAGGGAGGGAAGCTGGAACGTGGCGTTTTGGAATATCGCAGGATTATGGAATAAAGATAAGGAATCCAGGAAGGAAATAAGCGAATGGGAAGGAATGGTGTTATTAGAAACATGGGTAGAACAGAAAGGATGGGAAAAGCTGAAGACAAAACTACCAGGGGGCTACAGATGGACGAGGCAAGATGCGACGAAGAGAAATAAGAAAGGAAGGACAATGGGGGGAATGCTAGGGGGGGTTAGAGAGGAGATGACGGCTGACGAAGAGGGAGAGCAGAGAGAGGAGGAGCGGCTGATAGTAAAGAAAGTGAAAGAGGGAAGATAGAGATGGACGGTGGTAGGGGTATGCATAAACGGAGATATCAAGAGTAAGATAGAGAGCATCAAAGGGTATATAGAGACGCAACGTAAGGCGGAGAAGGTACGAGGAATACGAGGGAATACGAAGGAATACGAGGGAACTTTAACGCAAGGACGGGCACGGAAAGCGAGCGAAGAGAGGGGAATAGGAGAAGAGGAAGATAGAAAAAGGCAGTCGAAAGATAAAAAAGAAAATGGAGAAGGAAGGAAACTGATAAGGGCACTAGGTGAAGTAGGATGGAAGATATTCAACGGGAATATAGAATGTTGTGAGTCCAAACACTGGATTCACGGATTTGACTGCTGGAAAGGGTTTCCGGGAGTCTGGTACTTTGGAACTCGTTGCCCGAGTAAAAAGTTTGAACTTAACTCTCGATAACAAATAAAAGATTTATTTGAAACAAAATAAGGTAATTCTGTCGATTAGCCCCTTTTCCGAAAAAAGCCGACAGAATTTTTTTTTCACCTCGATTGGCTTGTTGGCATGTTAAATAATGAAAATCAGTCGGGGAAGCCCGAATTTTTTTTTATTTTTTTATTTTAACCAAAACCCACTAAACAGACATAACGTTCTGCAATGACCACACGCGCACGCACACACACGCACACGCGCGCGCACACGCGCGCGAAAAGTGTTTTGTGGGATTGTATTATCGGCTATTTGGCATTGTTTTTAGAGCATGAATTATCTGTTGTCGGTTCTTCGTCGGTTTCATTGGTGGTGTTGTTGTTGTTGCTGTTGTGGGTGATGTTGTTGTTAAATTTGGCAATTGCTAAGAACAGAACGTGGATTCGTAGTCGGTGATCGAGATATGCTCGACGGAAGAGGAATTCCGCGATGTAGCCACTCATGTGGTAATCTTTCAGGCCAAACTTCAGGAACATACACCGCATACCTCGCCATGTGCGTTCGATATTTTAAGTGTACGCTCCCGAGTCCGGATTCACGAAATTCATTGAGTGATTGACTGTCTGATGTTGGTATCCTATGGAAAAATGGACATTGGTATGTTGAAACGAACATGAGCGTGAGTGAACACACGTTCATGAATAACGTACCCTCTATTGTCAGGCATTTGTAATTCCGGAAATTACGCACGATCGAGAAACTTCTAGAACATTCTGGAAGCTTCGACGGTTCGTGTCCGTGCCAAGTCGGGAAGGATCGCTCCCAGAGCCGGCGATCCTCTCGCGCGACATTTTGAGACAGCCCCTTGCTCCCCACCCCGGAAAGCCATCCAGAAGCTTCGACGGACCCCTGCACGTTCGTGCAGGTTTCGGACGTCAGCCCTCAGCCCGTTTGACCTCGAACGTTATCTCGCAGAATTGCGCAGCATCGCTGATGCAGTCCTCCAGACATTTTTCCAGAACTTTTGTCCCTAACTTCATCGCGCAGGCTAGTGCGCAGCATCGGTGAATCAGAGAGAGAGAGAGACGAGCGGCATCCCCTTTGAGCGCAGTGCCGAAAAGCGGTTTCGGCGACTTTTGCGTCGAGGTTGATTCCAGGAAAAACGATACCCTTCCCATGCAGATTTCGGACGGCAGGCGACTCGACTTCGAACGTTATCTCGCAATAGTCGCGCGTCAGCCTCCTCATCCCACTGAGAGGCTTCGCGAATTCCCCATCCACCAGCCTCGTGCGAGAGCACCGGCGAGTTCAAAGTCATCCATGTATCGGTTGTTCTAATGCGCAATACCGAACGTTATCTCGCAGAGTCGTGCGTCGAGAATGCGGGCCCTCATCCCCCCGAGGTGTCAAATTACTCGTAACGGCGCGCGACGCAACTCCGTCGTCGTCGTCGTCGTCGTCGTCGTCGGAGGGCTAAGGAATATTCCGGAAGATGCATGAACCTTGACATCGAAGCGTGAGGTTGATGGTTCAAGTCCATTTAGTCCCATCATTATATGTGAAATTATAAAATAAACAGTTTTTTAAATAACTAATTAATTGATTTAATAATATCCTTATTAATAATATCAATATTAAAATATTGATTTAATAAAATAATTTAATAATATTATTTCAATAGATTGAAATAACTAATTAACCTTTTTTAAGATTTGAAATACCACTTCATATGTAGGTTTATTTAGTTTGTCGATGGTTCAAGTCCATTTAGTCCCACCATTATATGTGAAATTATAAAATAAACAGTTTTTTAAATAACTAATTAATTGATCTATACCTTTTTTAAGATTTGAAATACCACTTCATATTTAGGTTTATTTAGTTTATTATAAAACATATGCTTGTAATAATTAATTACTTTAATAAAGTGCTGGTGCTCAAAAATCAACTAAATTATGATTAGGTAAAGATTTATTATTTCAAAGTAAAGATAAAGATTTATTAGATTTTTTTAATAAATTAAAAGTGTCAGTTTTGGTGTTTTTTGTAAATGTCCAAATAATTACACAGGACTAATACATATTTCTAATGTAAGCAATAGTTTTGTAAATAATGTAGAAGATTATTTTTCAATTGATGAAGTCATCAAAAGATTTATTAGATTTTTTAAATAAATTAAAAGTGTCAGTTTTGGTGTTTTTTGTAAATGTCCAAATAATTACACAGGACTAATACATATTTCTAATGTAAGCAATAGTTTTGTAAATAATGTAGAAGATTATTTTTCAATTGATGAAGTCATCAAAGTGCTCAAGACATTAAAATCAAATGCTAAAGTTGAATCAGAAGAACGATCAGAAATAATTATTTTATTGCTATTTTTATTTGGTAGAATTTTTAAACCCCACTGGGGTAGGTTGCGAAGCAACTAGGGGTGAAATTTCTAAGACTTGGTGCAAAACTAACTTAATTCAAAATTATATATTCCTGCTATTAAATTAAATCTTAAAGCAAATCTTCGTATTTTATTAGTGCAAAACCTTTAATTTTAATCACTTAATGATTATTATTAATATTAAAGGTGATATTATGTTTGAAAAATATAAAAATGATCAAGAATTTTATAGTTCTGGGTCTAAGTGTTTAACTAATTCAATTCTATCTTCGGTTAAAGTACCAGTTTTATATTTTGACATAAGTTCTATAAGTTCTATACTTTATTATTTCTAGTTCTATACTATTCTATCAGTTGCTATACTGATATAAATGGTAATGTTTATGCTGGAAGTGATAATGGTAATGTTTATAAATCTAATGGTATAGATGCATTTAAACCAATGATTGGAACAACTTGAAGGTGTTGTTCTTCCACCTTCAGCATTTTCAATAACTTTTGGTTTATCACCTTCCATTACGGCAACACATGAATTAGTTGTTCCTAGATCGATTCCTAAAATGTTTTCTTTATTTGTTGTTTTTGTACAATTTTTCGTTTTGCCATATTTACCTCCATATTTTTGCATTTCATGTAATAGTATTTTATCCTCGACACTATTTTAATAACTCACTTTTTAATATCAACTAAAGTAATAATAGAACTTTTATGATCTTTACCAACGATAATGAAATATTATTTGTTAAATAAAGTTGGTAAGAATAAAACTCATATAATTTTGAATTAGGTTAGTTTTGCACCAAGTCTAATAAATTAATTATTTCTTTTTTATTAATTTTATTTGCAGCAGTTTCGTGATCGTTTTCATTAATTAATTTTTCAATTTTTTCAAATTCTTTTTTAATTTTATTTACAATAGTTTCTTTAAAAACTAGTTTTAGATTTTCTTTTTTTATTATATGATATGATGCTCGTAACCATGATGAAAGTGATGCAGCACCAACAACTTTTGGTTTAAAGGAATCACAAGATTTACAAGACATTATTGAAGCTAACAATTAATTTTGATTTTGATATTCACAAGAAAAAAAATACTTACTCGTTTTAATGAATTAAACTTTCACTGGGCATATATTGAACAAGAAAAAGGTTACGATGAAAATGAAAATCTTAATTTATAGATATGAGATGAAGAGTTACAGAACTCTATTATTGAAATTAAAAAATTTAGCAATTAAAAAAAGAACCCAATTAGGCTCTAAACTGCACTAGGTTTGGTTACCCAGCAAGACATCACACATTACTGCTTTGCCATATCCGTACAGAAAGTGAAATTTTTGTACATTTAAATTATACCATTATAGTATAGAAAAGTAAATAATTACCCATATTTATGGTAAGTTATGTATGTGTTAATTAAAAAATTTAGCAATTAAAAAAAGAACCCAATTAGGCTCTAAATTGCACTGGGTTTGGTTACCCAGCAAGACATCACACATTACTGCTTTGCCATATCCGTACAGAAAGTGAAATTTTGTACAATTTAAATTATACCATTATAGTATAGAAAAGTAAATAATTACCCATATTTATGGTAAGTTATGTATGTGTTGAAAAGGAAAGGTTTTAAGATGGCACAGATAATTTTTAAAGGAGAAAATAAAATGCCACAAGAAGAAAAAACCTTTATTAGAAAAAATAAACATACTAATTATGGAATCACTCATCAACAATCTTCTATAAATCATATTAGTTCAAGTAACACTGGCCTTAATAGTTCTAGTACAATTATTAATATTTAAAGAAAAAGAAACATTTGATTTGTTTAAAGAAATAAAATTAAAGTTAAAAAATAATAGTAGTTTTTTGTATAAATCAAATTTACAAGCAAATTTATAGATTTTAATAGACTTGGTGCAAAACCTTTAATTTTAATCACTTAATTATTATTAAGTCGATGGTTCAAGTCCATTTAGTCCCACCATTATATGTGAAATTATAAAATAAACAGTTTTTTAAATAACTAATTAATTGATCTATACCTTTTTTAAGATTTGAAATACCACTTCATATTTAGGTTTATTTAGTTGATTATAAAACATATGCTTGTAATAATTAATTACTTTAATAAAGTGCTGGTGCTCAAAAATCAACTAAATTATGATTAGGTAAAGGTTTATTATTTCAAAGTAAAGATAAAGATTTATTAGATTTTTTAAATAAATTAAAAGTGTCAGTTTTGGTGTTTTTTGTAAATGTCCAAATAATTACACAGGACTAATACATATTTCTAATGTAAGCAATAGTTTTGTAAATAATGTAGAAGATTATTTTTCAATTGATGAAGTCATCAAAGTGCTCAAGACATTAAAATCAAATGCTAAAGTTGAATCAGAAAAACGATCAGAAATAATGATTTTATTGCTATTTTTATTTGGTAGAATTTTTAAACTCCACTGGGGTAGGTTGCGAAACAACTAGGGGTGAAACCCCTAATACTTGGTGCAAAACTAAAACTTAAAGGTTTAACTCAACGATTTTGATACCGGTACTAATGATATTGCAATTAATAATGCTAAATATTTTTTAAAGTGCCTTTATCTGAAATGTTTGGTTTGCTACTGAATTACGTTCAATGACACAAGGACTTGGAACATATACAACTTTATGAGAAAGTAAAAAATAGATATAGTAATATAACCATGAATTAACTTGATATTTAATTGCTGTATCATTTAATATTTCAATAAATGTATAATTACTAAAATCATAATATATAGTTAAACCATATTTATATAACAAATTATTTTCTTTTATTCCAACTCATTGTTTTCATTAATATTATTACTCAAACAATTAAAATATCTTTTGAAAGAAAATCACATATGTGTTTTTGTTAAATATTCTAGTATGTTAGCTTACCTCCAGAACATGTAAAAAGTTATCGTTATTTAATGAATCATCAATTGTTTTGAACATTAGAAACAACGATCCGTACTGTTTCCTCTGGTCCGTCACCGCAGTTCTTCATCCAGTTAAAAATAATATAAGCGTTATCGGTTCGTACCTCCACTTCAGCTCAGTGCTAAGGTATGAAGGTTTAAATTTTCCGATTTGAACATTAGAAACAACGATCCGTACTGTTTCTTCTGGTCCGTCACCGCAGCTCTTCATCCAGTTAAAAATAATGTAAGCGTTATCGGTTCGTACCCCCACTTCAGCTCAGTGCTAAGGTATGAAGGTTTAAATTTTCCCATTGGCTTAAAGGACATTTCGAAATTCGAGAAGATGAATGATTTGGTAATTAACGTTTACGGTATAGAGTATGATAGTGGTCATTAGATAGTACCAATTTATCTAAGCCAGCAAAAATCAAACAAGGAAGCAATTCATTTACTTGTCACCGCAGCTCTTCATCCAGTTAAAAATAATGTAAGCGTTATCGGTTCGTACCCCCACTTCAGCTCAGTGCTAAGGTATGAAGGTTTAAATTTTCCCATTGGCTTAAAGGACATTTCGAAATTCGAGAAGATGAATGATTTGGTAATTAACGTTTACGGTATAGAGTATGATAGTGGTCATGAGATTGTACCAATTTATCTAAGTCAGCAAAAGTCAAACAAGGAAGCGATTCATTTACTCATGTTAGAAACGAAAATTTATTCGAATGGAGATGACGTGGACATGGAAGACGGTAGTGTTTATCACTTTGCTTGGATTCGAAATCTATCCCGTTTACTGAGTTCACAAATTTCAAAACATCATGGTTTTACCAGACTGTGTGATCGATGTCTATGTCACTTTACAACAGTAAACTCTTTCGAAAGACATAGACACGATTGTACAAATATAAATAAATGTAGAGTCGTATTACCGGATGAAAAAGATAAAATTATGAAATTTAAAAATTATAAGTATAAAGAACCTGTTCCGTTTGCCGTTTATGCGGACATCGAGTGTATGTTAGAGCCAATTGCGGATAAGTCTAATTCGTTAAACACAACTCTCTATCAAAGACACGTTCCAGACAGTATAGCGTACTATTTACAATGTAACTTTGATGACTCTATTTCTAAATTTAGAGCTCATCGTGGAAAAGATTGCGTGGAATGGTTTACGAAACAATTACAGGAATTAGCTCAAGTTGTAGAGTTTTACCTAAAACGTATCGTATCAATGGAATTTCTAAATTTCAAACAAAGAAATGAATTTTACTCGGCCAAGATTTGTCATGTTTGTGAAAAACCGTTTACACCTCAGGATGCCAAGCATCGTCATCATTGCCATTTTACAGGCAAATATCGCGGTGCTGCACATCAGTGGTGTAATTTGAACTATAAGAACTCGCATACCATTCCTGTCGTATTTCATAACTTATCTGGTTATGATTCACACTTCTTGATTAGAGCTCTGATTAGAGACTACATCTTTTGAGGGTTCAATGAATCTCTTACCAGTAAACAAAGAAAG